ATATCGAATATCTTCTGAATAATTAGATTTTGAACAAAACAATGTAAATTGATAGAAATTATATTCAGTAATACATAATGTTTGAGATAAACATTATTTTGATTAATATTCTCTATTTTACAGCGAAGTAAAACTGATTAGATTATTCGTCTGACCGTCAGATGTCAAATGCTCTACTCTAAGACTAGATAACAAGTTTTCAAATGAAAATAATTTGGATTATTCCTAAAACAGGAATCAAGTATACGGAACATAACAAATTGCTACGGTAATTTATTATTGATTCTTTTATACATAACTCCACCAAACTCTATGCACAGCGGAAGAGTTACACTATAACTACTAAAAGGCACCAGAGGCAACGGTTAACACTGACAACTTGAACCCATAATAAACTCTTCAATCGGTAGAGCCATGATTAGTTTGTGAGCATGACCGTGCTCCCACTTGAATTAACATTAACCTTTAACCCCTTGTCATCAATTTTGAGAAATAAAATGAAATGAAACTAAGATGACCGCTAAATGAAAAATCAATCAATCTTGTCGTAAACACTCAAGGCTATATCATAAAATAATTGCAATCAAATACTAATATTAATATGTATGAGTGCACAACACATAGTATAAGATGCAATAACATCCCAGTTTATAAAATGAAAATAGATAATCGCGTACCGTGGGAAGGAAGACATGCATAACTGGTAAAGCATGTTTCACTATGAATAAGACTTGCAGCAGCCATCTAGATCAGTGGTTCTTAAACTGGGGGGCGCGCCCCCCTAGGGGGGCGCGAGATGCTCACAGGGGGGGCGCAAGAGGTCACAAGATGGAATCGGAAATTTACATGTAACGGCTCCTGAAACGGTCTCCGCGTTCATTAAAAATACCGGCTTTTTCGTGGTATAATAATTTTTTCCGTCTCGTAATAACTAAAAAAATTCAAAATGTCTCTCTATTTTAATTCATTTGTGTTCAAGGTAACTTGCGGTTGCGGCGACTCATGTCAAGATAAACTCATTACCGATCTAAAATACCACGCCAATCCGCGGACATATCAAAGTGTGATCAACTGCCCGATTATATTTCGTTTTGATATATATTGCACTGATGCGAATTCGTTGACTTCATTAGAAAAATCTGGTATAATATCCCAGAAAGTATACTTAATTTAGTACAATTAAAATACATATTCATCGACTCGAAATCCCCGCGGTACGAATCCTGAGTCTGTCCTCGACATTACGCCAGTCCTTATAAGAGCCCACCCAACTTTGTCAACGGATATGTAATGGTTTTCGTGTTGAATAAAATATTCATTCAGAATGGTTGCTTTATTCATTTGATTGTGATAAATTAAATCTTGCGATTGCGTCGATAAAATAAAAGCACCACTACTCCAAAATACCACGGTAATCCGCAACCATAAAAATGTGTGGCAAAGTGCCCGATTACATTTTGTTTTGATTTGTATTCTTGCCAATGTCACCATTATGAGGTGTCCCTGCAACTCTTACTCCGCTTTATCGCAATGCTCGATCAATTCCTTAGTCTACGATAAAATCCCACGGAGTAAAATTTATTTCAAGTCGGTAGTTTTAGAACACTACTGGTGTGCCGCAGGCACAAGGAATTCATGAGATTTGCAATGTCTAAGAAAGTGTTTTTAATCTGTCGCGGTCCACCCCAAAACAAAACTCATGGTGTTTTCAGTTTTATTTTTAGTATTTTATAATCTCGCTTCTACAATAAAGAAATATTTGGTTGCAGATTCACTACTTTATTCTATCTTTAGCATCTCGTCGCTGATGATTATATAATAAAAACTAACTCGTTCTCCTCAGAGATGTCATGGTTCTATTCGGAAATAAAAAAAGTAATTATAATCGTCTTCGCGACACAAGAATATGTCGAGGGAAATTTCTGATTTAGGGAGAAAAATCACCAAAATCAAGATTTTTACGGCATAGCGGGCCACGCTTACGAAAACAATCGAGATTTAAACAAAATGCTATCGCAAACCCCTTAGCGACTTTATTTTTCAGTGGTCAAGGGCCGAGGAAACGTCCACATTCATAATAACTATTAAAAAATGAACTGCTTTTAAATTTACATAAATTCATTTGTACTTCTCCATTTTGTTTGAAACGTTAGGCAAGCCAAGAAGTCTGTAATTGTTGCTTATTTTTAACACACAGTAAATAATTTTGGCATCGCTCAATAGTGATGAAGTAAACAATTGATTGAAATTTTAAGTTCTTATGTAAACGTTTAAGCAGAAAATACATTAAAGCATAGGTTCATTGCGTGTTTAGTTTTACTTAAAAATTAGTTTGTCTTTACCAGGTATTACAAACTGAGGGGAAATACGAGAATGTATGATGACCAACCATTATTTGGCTTTATACATACGACAGTGAATGGCAAAGTTGTACTCCGAAGCGTTTTATGCCTAAACAATCTGAGCAATGACGATATGAGACCAACACTCTTATAGTGCCATCTTATTAAATAGCAACCTGCCCATCACAAAAGCATTTTTTCAAAGCAAAAATAGGGGGGGCGCGAAGTTTGTAAATATTTTCAAAGGGGGGCGCGGCTCAAAAAGTTTAAGAACCACTGATCTAGATCATCTAAATCGACTACCTAAGATGGAGTTCTTTTACTATGAATCACTTAGTATGTAGACATGTAGTAATTGAGTTTGCAGTACTACTGATTTTATCTACAAGTACCCATAATAATAAAATCATAGAAATAATAAAAAAATATAGAGATTGAATAGAGATTCCTTAAATGATCACTTTCGAACTGAATACGAAATAAATGTAAAATTCAGGTTGCGTGACATAAAACATTTTTAGTCAATCACAGACAGCACCCACGCAGTTCCAAAATAACCAGTATGAAAAATATAACGATGGGAGGCATTTTTGAAACTAGATGGGATAGGGACACCAATACCCATGTGCATATAATACCGCATAATAATCCACAAACACGAGAAATAATATATCGACCCGATTCGATGTATAAAATGTTCCGACATACCCGTCACTTTGATGTTCATATCGAATCTTAAAGTGACAAAGTTAAGCCAAATCGGATAGCTCATTTTGAAAAAAAAAAGAATACGTTATCAAATATATTGCAACGCCAAAAATATCACGAGAACTTATAAAGAGTATTAGTAGTTTGTTGTACCATTTGCCGAAAAAACTTTGTTGATGGAAATGTGCCTTTAAACAGTATTGAAAATTCAGAATGTACTAAAATGTTTCAATATTCTTTCTCAATTGCGAATATGAGTAAATAATTCAACTATTTTAAAATGGACATTTTATAAGCCAAAGCCTAATAAAACATACAATTTTATAACAGAGTAATGGTTATTAAAAATATTTTACAATGGAACCCAAAAATAGACCGGCAATAAATTTTTAAGTTTGGTGAATGATATTCAATCAAGCTAAAAGTGGTTTAAATAGGGCTTTCAAGATAAGATTATATTAGGACCACGTTTGACCATTCGTCCATTTATTAGTAAAACATAAAAATTCTTGAGATTTTAAGATTGTCCTATTGCGTATTAGTATCTTGGCAACAATGAAAACAAAACGTCATTTTTGGCACTAAAATATGTTGGACAATAGGCTAAGATGTTTGTAAAACATTGTCCTTGAAAATATAATATCTCAATAAACCAGATTTACTGTACTGTTAGCAAAGCTCAGATAGTGAAACGAAAATGAATCGTACCTAAGGCATAGATACGACTTATTTTCTGCTTTAATTAAGTCTACGATAATTTTAAAACTAGACATTAGCTCCAAATCCGGTAATCTATGCGTCTTGCCCTATTGTGACAAATCGAAATTTCAAGCTAACGGTATTCAACACATATCTACGGCCGAGTATGGCCATGCATAGATCACGCCGCCGAGGGGCGATCTATGCATGGTCATACTAGGTAAAGGATAATTGGATGTGGGAGGCATTGTTACAAAAACAATTTCAAAAAAAAATTTCAACATTTCAATTTTACAACTCGCTAAAAAATACAAGCGATATTTGTGTGCAGACTTGTCTCGTTTTACAAAAGCTAAAACAATTCGAACTATTTGTATTATATTAAAAAGTGGAGGAAATTTCAATTCCGTGAATCTCATTAATGCGTAATAGTATAAAAACGAATATCTTATATATTAAGTGCGTCACAATGGAAATAGGACGATTCTCCACGGTTGAAAAAAAGGCACGAACCCATTGGCAGAGAGAAAGGAGAAATTGTTGGAGCAAACTGACACTACTAAGCCATATACGACCATCTTATATATACCACAACAAGAGAGCCAAAACGAAATCTTTTATCCACAATTTCCTCAAATACATATTCTGAACAAATCTGAACTATGAAAAGGTTACAGTACCTGGATCTAGAGTATTTTATTGCCACAAGTACTTTTAGTGGGCGTGGCGTAACAATTTTTGCATGTGTCTTTCTGACTACGTCATTCAAAAATGACGTCAGGTTGAGGTCAGGAATGACATATGCAAAAATTTTCGGCCGTCACGCTTGACAGAATAAACCCATGTTTCCATGAATGATGAATTTCCATGTTTCGATAAAATATCAGATCTCATAAGATTAATAGGAATATCATAGCTTTCTAGCGACAATAACAATCTTTACCCACAGAAAATTTCAAAGCAAGTGTTCCAGTAATAAAAGGAAAAAGCTATTTTTCACAACAACAATAACAACGAGAAAAGGAATAACAAAAATACACCAACAACAACATAATAACAACACTTGGTGTCTAATAAACGACAGTATCTTCAAATTGGCACAATATCCCAAACGTATTCTCAGAACCTCTTCCTAAATTTGATCAATCAATTCCCCCAAACTATTATACCACTATACCATTTAAACATAATAATAATAAGCAGTTTAACCCAAAATTCAAAGTAAAATAAGAAAACGGAAAAATTATCCACCTGTTTTCTACCATAGCTGTATCGATTGTGTATGATTCTCCTTTGCTTCTTCCTAATGTTCCTGATACGCTGTGTTGTTTCTGCAGCTGCAATGTAACAAGTAAAATTTTTTAAATTTCTTATAAATTTTGAAAAAATTCCATGTTAATAAATATGTGTTTAGAGGTGGTGATGAATTTTATGCTTCTTAAATTATTTTATCAAAATTGACAAAATTTCATTGTCTAGTTAATTTTCCATTCGTTCCAGATAAAAAATAGTCATTGTTACGAAAAACCGGTGTGAAATAGGAATTGCAGATTGAAAGTCAGAAACATATTGGATGATTGACCGTTTTTCTAGCGATCAAGGTTAAAACTAAATCGAAACAATTACTTGTTTAATCAGTGTACCAATTCCTAAACCCAAGAATACAAATTAATGTGCAAAAACATCCAAATTATACAATGCCTAATTTCGTTCACTAGTAGGCGTCCATGTTGTGCAATGACAAAATATTTTCTGGGAAGCCAACTCAAGTTAGCATTTTTAAACGAAACCAAGGCACCATAGCTTGTGATTACTAAGTGAGCGTTTTTTTAATTAAATTGTTCTCAAGTCGAGACTAAAAAAATTTGCTCTATTTTAGGCCAATTATATTATGAATAACTCAAATATTGAAAACCAGCTATAGGAGAAAAACAAATGAGACATCCTGGTAATTTGAGACATTGTGAGCGAACGAGTTCTTTTATATACGATTCCATATTTACCACGCAATCGTCACTTTCATTTTTTCTTTTCGAGACGTCGGGCTGGTATGGCAATTATGTGCGCTTTCTATGGCCATTGTGTGGCCGTATGCCCTACACATTCCGACAAGAGATGGGAAATTACATATTGAATATTAATCGTATTGTATTTACCGTAGGTAAATAGTATTATTAGTATGAAACATAGTATAAGACTTGGTAATACAAATACTCAATATGATCGCATGAGAATATGATAAAGCGATTTAAAATTAAGTGGGTTGGTCATCACGTCATTGGTCAAACTTTAAATAGCTGGTGTTGGTCAATCAAATGTAAAACGGCAATTATCTTGCCACTGGAAGCTCGCATCTGCCACCAAGTGATCGAACATGAGCTTTTCACCCACCTAGTCTGGCTAGAATAGCATTTCTTGTTCTTGAAGTATCGAATTATCACGAACTATCTCTGTTGCAGGATGCAAAAGCAACTATTCAATTTACAGGGGGAAAAACAATGGGAATTTGGATGGCAACACACAGTTCGCAAGGAGAAAAGAAAATATCTCCAAGGATTCGAGCAAAAAGTCGAAGCCAAAGTCTGTGTGATACCAGTTGTGCTGTTAAACCTCAATCAAGAAAAGATTTATTAAACCATGTGAAATTTCCAAAATAGACAAAATGGCTTAACACCACCATACCAAATAATTTTTAATAAATTAGGCAGGGGATAACAAATTGAAGCGATTCACTAGTCACTACCCTTACTTTCAAAACTTAATATCTATCTATCTACTACTAAATATTTGCATGCCTCTCACCTGTCTCAAAGACTCGGGTACCTGGTACAATATGGAAACAAGTGATAAAATCGTGATTGTAAACTTTCCTGTGTCGTGAGTCGGAATCGAAATACAAAATTTTCCTAGTTAGAATCTTTTTACGCGGAGAGGCATATGCAAATTTTTCAACGGAAACTAAAACAGTTTGTTATCTCGAAAATTGCGAAATACTTTTTACACCGAGGGTGGTAGCCAGAGTCGAAATTTTTTTTCAATCCGAACTCGAAATCCCGGGTGTATGTTTTGGTTTACAGTACTTAACAGTACTTACAATATATTGCTTGGAATGCTTCATCAACGAACTGGGAGTCCACGTTGATCTTCCATTATGTTTCTTTGCATTGTGTTTAGGTGAGGTATCTGGTGATGGCGCAATGGGTGGTTTTGACGAAGACACTGTTTCAGCTCTTGCTCGAATTAGAGGATGATCGACTGTAATAAATGTTTGAAATTGTAGCTTTAAAAAATTGGACAATTTAAATAATCAAATTTTTACCATTTACAGATAAATCGTGATAATTAGCGTGGAACGTTTATAACTACTATGTGTTGAATGAACAAGGGAGCAATGCAATATATATTTAAGTACATGGAGGTCGAATGTAAAAACAATGTTAAATTCGGGTTAAATATCGGGACCGTAGTCAGAGGGTGCCAAACTTTTCTGTTTCTGATAATGATAGATGATACCCCGCAAACCTAACTCCAAAAAAAATTCGGGTGATGAACAAATTATAGATGTTCTTATGCAAGGTCAAGTAAGAGTGAAATGTTTGTATTATTAATTAAATCATCAAACTAAGCAACAAACTCATATGTATAAGATGAAACACATTTATTAATAAAATGAAAGTCTATTGGATCTGCTGCGCCCCATAACGTACTGCCCAGGGCAGCTGCCCATGTGGCCCTCTCCCGCCCATAGTTCTCAAAAAAAACATTTGAGGAAAAAGTAAGTAATAGCCGTCTAGCGACTTCAAGTTCTGAAAATTGGAATCGATTGTTTAAGCAGTTTGCAGAAAAACAGGTGTTTTTACACAACAATCCAAAGCAACAAGACTAACAAACAACAACAAAAATTCATCAAAACGAATCATATTATGCAGATACACTTGGAGTTCAAAATTCTGAAAAATTCAAAAATACGCAAAAATTCGGAAAAGTAGACTTAATCAACTACTCACATTACATTCGCCAAACAAACCTATTTGAAAGTTGACAGACGAAGTTTTATTTATATACTACATAGGCATCAACATTGCTATATGACGCGTGAAAATAAGACATTATCCACGCGTCAATCTTTCGACACCGAGTCGATATAACATAAGCGGGGCGTAACCACACATATTTTAAATTTACTTCCTACCGCAAATACACCGAAATAGCTAATTTTAAAATATCGCAAAAAATTTGGTACGTAAAAAGGGCTTGTCCGCGGAAGCGGGATTTTGGATCAGCAAAAACGTGGTTAACGAGTACGGTAACTGCAATTACGATTTTTAACGTAGCAAGCATTTGTATATTTTAAATTAAAACCTATCCAAATAACGGTACTCGAAAGTTCGAACTACTCAAAATAGTTTCTGAAATTGTGAGAGGTGACACCAAGTGGGTGGTAACAGGTAAGTCCTGTCTGCATACCACAATGCCTTTGCACAGGTTGTATACAAAACACAGGGGCCAAAGCGGACGTAGCGATCAGGCGGCTGTCCTATACATCATTAGCGAATAGCACACACATGAATCAGGTTTTATTGATATCGAAGGGGAAAGATGCCTACGATTATAACGATTTACCTCTATGAAATGAAGGCGGGTAACAGGAGTAACACATGCAACAGTTTACAATAATTGGACACGAAGTAGACCTATGGATCCTTTTGTCATTTTGTATTTTTCTTTTCATTAAAATAGGAAATATCGAGATCTAAAATTTTTATGCTACATTTACTCCACTGATAGCACGATCAAATCCAATACTTACTATTATCCATATTATTCGGAAAATCTTTGATGAGAGAAGCGACGCTTACATTTGATGCTACATGGGCGACCTGCAAATTTAAATACAGAATGATGAAATTAGTTAACACAGAAATAAACATATTCAAATTGTCTTTGTTCATAGGAAAATAGGTCCGATAAAATATTAAATATTGATAAATCAGCTATGACGTAATACATGAACCATCTGATTTTATGGCGCTCCAGAAGTATGTGTACCAATATGGAGGTAACTAATTTTGTTTGTCTACTTTACATCGAGTTGTATAAAGGGACTGAAATCTATGAGCATATTCACTTGGAGTATATTCACTTGGCTAACACAGTCCGTCCCGAACTCGTAATAAAAGTCAAATATGGAAAATCGGAATAAAATTATTGCCCAACCCTAACCTGGTACACATACTACGGGAGTATCGAATTTTTTGAGTTAAAGTAGTTGGGATGGCTTACGAGAAGAAAAGATAAAAGCACTCAAAGTTACATTACCTGGACGGCATCTTGATTCGAAAAATTCAATATAGTTGTGTCTGCTCCATGCATCAAAAGAGTTACTGCGCAAAATTCTTGATTGTAAAGAGCGCAAACGTGAAGTGGTGTGTTCCCAGATGCATTTCGTGCATTTATATGTTCTTCACCTACACTGTCGCACGATAACAGAAGTTCTAATAGTTGCAGACGACCGTGTCGACAAGCCTGTGACAAGAAGTCGAAGTAATAAATGACTATTGGCTAAAGTCGAAAAAATACAAATCGTGGAAATGAACACAAGACCTAAACATCCTCATTCGGTCGAAAATATAGTTATCAAGTTGTCACACATCAATTCGCTCTGAATTTGGCTTCAAACGAGTAGCTAGCTTTATCTGAGCAGTTACTGTATCCTTGGGCGAGGTGTGGGGCAACGCAACATGATTACCGTAGGTCTAAAATGCTATGATAACCTAACTACACGACCAACATGTGTATATTCAGCATGATCTCCAAGCATGTGTACAGCATTAGAAAAATTGAACTAAGGTCATACCAGGGCTTCGATATGTAACGGATATGTAGTTTTGTCGAAAACAGCTTGCTTTGAATATGACATACCACAGTGTATTCATTTACATATATGTGATACGTCTTGTATACGCTAAGTAACTTCAAAACTTCATGAGGGTCGAAGCTAGCGAAGGTCAAATTGTTATATCAAAACAAACCACTGGTGTGAGATATAGGGTCCAGATATTGCGTGAGTAAAGCTTTCTTTGATGTTATGCTAAGCTAATGCTATTTACGTTTACGATACGGGGATAAATGAGCGGAGTTGATTTGCGCGAATTAGCGAGCGTGGGGTAACGTTATTACAAAGCCTTGTTTCGGCATTGTCAAGTTTAGCCAGACTTCGTAATATAAATGGGAAAAGCATGGCCTTCATCTTTGGATAATAATAGGTTTGTGTGTGTCGCTATTTTAGGCTTATATTCCATCCATAACGAAACGACAATTTGTTTAATGAAACAAGTTAAACCCAATAGTTTCCCATAAATTATGTCAGTTCAGGTTAGACAAAGGACCTAATGACCTTTATGAAGAGGACCTTTCAAATGACGATTGGGATCGCTATATCCATTTCTATTGGATAGTTACTCCGTTTAGAGAGCCAATGAAAATATTCGTTCGTTCGTCAAACGATTCCAACGCTTTGTGTAGCATGTCGCCATCATAAAAATATTTCCACATTTTAAGATATAACATCAAGTTCAAATGGTATGAAATTCTAATGTCATCTAAGCGTTGGTATGGTGTGGCCTATTTACAATCTACCTTGTTTGCAGTGGTCAAAAACATACAAATGAATGAATGTTGAAATCAAGTATCGAGCCATATTTGTAAAATGGGGACACAGGGATCGTGAAAACGGGTAAAATGAGGTATAATTTCATTGAAGTATCCGACATGCAATTACGCGTGTCGCTAACCCATTAGGAACAAAACCCCAAACACTACTGACAACCTATTCAACTCTTCAATATCTTTTAAGTCAAGCACAACAGAGAGAAATCGTTTTTTCAAATCATAATATCATGTTTTGATAGCAGATATAATTTCTATTTTACATTAAATTTTCGAAAGTCAGTCCCAAGTATGATTTGTGTAAAAAATACACTTTCTTAGGACATATTACATATGGTCCACGCTTGATCATAGCATTCCAATTAAATCAATTTCGGTTATTTATTCGTGTTAAAAGCCGTAAATAATTGACATACATATTCATCCAAGCGTAAGACGACCGAAATCAATCTACGAAAATGATTTTTTCATCATTATTGTTTGTTTGTTTTGTTTTATTTGAAGTTAACCAACTGTGAATGATCTCACGGACACTGGTTCGTCCGAATGGCATCCTACCAGGAAATGGGGCATTTCTATCCTACGCTGCAATGGTAGAAATATGGAAAATAGTATATGACTCTTGCAGTAACTGACTTAAATGCAAAAGTTGGCTGATTGGTGGAAAAGGTGGGGCATATCATTTATCTTACATGTTGTCATAAACAAGTGTTTACCAAACTGTGCAATATTTCAGGAGCGTTGCGAAATATCAATCTATTTTCCAAAGACTATTTTTATCTACCCGCATTTAAAAGCATTTCGAACATGATACGATAATAATTGTTGAAATGTTAAGTGAAAAAGTACCATTGGCGAAATTGACATTCAAACGAATTAAGCAAGCTCATATATCATTTTGAATGAATGTACATTCTTCGCAAAACTTTTCCTTGAGGTAATTTTAATCTTGATTAAAGAAAGAAATTTTTCTTCCGAGTGTCCTAATTCTGCGACAACAAGTCTTCTTTAATCACTGGTTACATACCTGATGTATTTCAGTCCATCCCTGCGAATCTCTACATCCAATAATAGAGTTACTTTGTATAAGTATTCTGGCAGCAGATGGGTCGGACCCAAGTAATATACAATGATATAACGGCGTGAGATCTCGACTGTCGACAACATTAGGTGAAGCCTGGAATTCTATCAATGTCTGTAAGAGAGTAAAGCAGGGTAAAAATTCAAAATATAAAACCAAGCAAATGTACATTTCCATGAAACACATAATGTGAGAACAAATAATGCTTTGTCTATGTAACCAAATTTGAATTTAGTCGAACAAAAAATGATTCGAAATAAATGATAGTAAAAAGTGTTAAAGAATTCAGAAAACCGATATTGACGATTTGATAAAAAAAAAATTGTGATTTACATACATTACAATCTAGCATAATTTGGTTGCAAAAATTTATTCAAATAAATCATAATATAATCGAAATATTGAGTATTTGAGAATACCAAATGAGGTTTTAGACAGGCATACTGATTGAGAGTATGTAAGTAACCAATTTCATATTCTCGTACTAGTATTTCTATCATTGTCACGTAATGGGCAACCCACTTGAGCAAGGTATCCCAACCGGGTATCCGGCAGGTATCGAAAAACGGGAGTGCGATTTGCGCATAGCAATGGCAAAGGATCCATTGGGGATTGAAAAAATAAAGTGGTTTTATGCATAGGGAGGGAGAAATAACTAATTCCAAAATAGGCAAATCGACGAATTTAACAAAAAGGGCTGCACTTGAGATTCTTTATCAAAACACCCATTGGAATACACCAGTGTGTACTCCCAAGTTCCATTAAAACATGCTAGCAAGATTCATTACAATTTGCCAACCAGTAGTAAAATAACGCGGTTTTCGTCTCATATTGCATATTGTTGTTAATTAAAGAAGAAATTACCCTTATCATTTGTATATTTCCATTCCTAGCAGCAACATGCATAGGTGTGAATCCTCTTTTATTCCTGTAATCCAGATGAGCTCCACCTCCCAGTAATGCCATGAACACTGATACACATTCAGCACGAGATTGGCCGCTACTCAAGATTGTAAGTGGAGTTTCTGATAACAACAGGTAATAATAGGCTGGATATTGGAACACTTCTAAACGCCATTTTTCAGAAAATTTGCATAAAGCAAGGATGAATAAGCGGTCATTCGAATACCGCGAATCTTACTTAGAGATAGTTTTTTTCAAATTGCCAAGATTTTGATGCTCTGACCATTGAGTATAGCTTACCCATGTAGTCCCTAAGAATAGTTAAAAAGGGCCAGTTCATTCAGAATTAGAATTGAAAAAGCCCCACTAAGCAAGTATTCAAAATGTCAGCCCCCTAAAAACCCGGAAGTCATAAAAATTCGTTGAATCTTTTGATTTACATGCAAATCAGATTTTAATTCAACTATATTTTCTAGCAGGTATGTATGTTTCTTTTCAATCCAAGATCCTGTTTCTCGGGAATTGAAAACCTCGCGTCTTGATTTTCGAAAAATAAAAACGAAAACATTATAATCATTGAACATGACGTACCTCCTGTATTCGGACATTGAAAATTCGGATCAATTCCTTTTCGTATCAAACTATATATTTTATCCGTAGAATATTGTTGAACGTAACTTAGAAAATCTCGTCGCTTGGAAGCGCTTTGCATCTTCGTGTGTTTTCTTCCTTCCTTTGAAATATGAGGATGATCTGCCATTTTTCTACATTTATATAACATCTAGAAACAAAGACAAAATTTTTAGTTAGCATGGTACTTACTGGTTGAATAGCGTCCAGCGACGCGAAAATTGTTTATAACAGTAGTCAATAACAGTCAAAATAATTTTAAATTGTGTGGTTGTGTAGAGTCATATTTTGAGTTGCCCTTAAAGACGCTGATTTACAAGATTACGAAGATATTTCATAAAGTAAGTTCAGTTAGTTTCCGTAACCTAATACCCTAATACAACCTCATGCTTCTCTAATTTGCTATTGGAAACAAGCCTGACAACGAAGTACTTTAAGTGATTTAGAAGTCTTGATGCACATTGACACAACTTATTGTGTAAAAGTACCGTGAATCACGTATAAACAGTCATCTTTATACTTGTTACATCACCATTGCATTATACGTATAAAAATTCATCAGCGTGAAAGCATAGAAAACACAGGTGGAAACTCCGACCAGAATTCACAACAAGCGTAAGTCAAAAGTTTCAAGAAATTCCATGATTAGAACAATTATTGAATTTTCGAAATTTTTATCTTCTAGTATCAGTTAACTGCGTCTAATATATAATGACGCATAGACTTATATTGAAGACTTAGAAATTAGGATGCCAGCAAGTGTAAGTCAAAAATTTGAAGAAATTTCATGATTAGAACAATAAATGAGTTTTAAATTTTTTTATCTTCTAGATTAGAATGTTCGATGGTGGTGAATGTTCTTACGGTCAATATACTATACTACAAAACACAATGATATACTGTACTACCAAAGATATTCCTAATTTTATCAAACCCATATCAATAACGCTTTACCATAAATGACGATCACGAAATGACCTTTTCATCATTATCACAACCAGACTCCATGATTTTCGAATTCAACTTGAATTGTTCAATTTAAGTTCATTTAACTATAGAAATAGTTTAAACTGGCGCCATACGTTGCGAATATCATTTTCTATTGTGCATCCAAAAATAGCATCTAAAAGTTGTCCATTGAAAATCCCGCCATGTCGGGGTCATCGGGAAAATGATATCTATGGTCCATACGCGATTGAGAATTTGTGTATTACTTTAATTTTCAGTTTCAATGGTATTCACATTTAGTCAACTAAATACAAAAAATCGTGAAACTATATTATGCGATAATAAAATTGCCAAATTGACATGGTCACGAATTGCATTGAATATACACATAAGATAACCAATGAAATACAGACTAATATCTTTTCGGTAATCGCAATATGCCGAATAATGCATTTTATCAAAGTTTGCAAAAAAACACCGTCCCACCAATGAATAATTATCGATTCGTTCCAGTGATAATGGCAATTGGTAATACATAATTTCGGTGATATACCGTTAAATCGTGAAAATATCCGTGAAGCGAAAAATATTATTTGCAAGCATAATATGGCCATAAAATATAGACTCGAAACAGACAGACTTTATTTTTATGTTACCTAATCATTTTCAGGCCTGTTGCAGATGAATGTTTTTCGCATATTAGACTCGAAACAGCTATCGCATTAAACCGATCACGTTACGCCACCTTTCTTCATTAGCAGGCTACGTAATCATTCGCAGGCGTATTGCAGATGAATGTAATTTGCATTGCGTGAATGTAATATCATTGGTAAATACGTCATAAATCATGTTTCATAAAGATAGAATATGAAGGCTTCCTATTATGCCACTATGCGTCAGTATAACAGTGATAGACGAGACAGAACGCAACATTCCAACTTCCGGACAGGAGTTGACATGATGATAGATCTTTCCGTTCATGTTTCAAAATCATAACACGACTTTTCCGGTGACGTAATATCCCAAAAAGTATTTAAGCGTTTTGCGTAAAGAAGGCAGGTTTAAATTGATTCACGTTAGATTGATAGCACATATTGATCGTACAATACGGAGATGTACCCATGTATCGGTATCGGCATCGGGTATCGGGTATCTGTATTTGTATCGGTATCGGTATCGGCTAACTGTGGACCGATATTTCCGATATATTTGGATTATTAATCTAATCCAGAATGTTGTAAAAAAGAAGTTAAAATACAGATGATGAAAATTTTTCTGCTGGCTCAAGAAATATTTGATTCTTTTAATACTTTTCTCGAATCCTTCAAAATTTGACCTATGTTTGTATTGAATTACGGCCACAATTTTTTTTTATAGTACATGCACATATAATCAGTGCAATACGTCAGTTTGTTTTTATGTACATAAACAACGACATCATGAACGAAGATCCGATATAGCCATTCACATTTCTCCCGCGACGTTATTTTTTACCAATTGGATAATTTTATATTAAGTGATAAACGAGGCCAAATGAGATGTAATTTTTCAAAAATATATTGATGTTTAGCGGCGCACTATATGTAAATCTATGCAAAACCAGTTAGCTTACACTTTCTGTCATGTTAATTCAACCCATTCATCTACTTACAATGGTTCATTTGCATGGGGGAGTGTTTCACGCCCGATATATATTATTCATGTACATTCGACAGGATTTGTGGATGAAGGGTTTTATAAAGTCCTGTCATAGTTTCAAAATTTTGTTATGAAGTCAGTTCTCAATACCGCATATCCCAACCAGGTTTATTTTATTTTAATCAGTGTTTATAAAAGTGTTTTTACTTCATTTAATACGACTTTATATGTCACCATCATTTGCACGGAGCATATCAAAGTTCTTTCACCTAATTTAACACAGAAATTTGTGAACAAATATTCTGCTGTGCTTCATTGTTCATGTACATTACTAACATATTACGAGTATAAGTTTCCTATACATTATTCGACATTAAATTTAAAGTAAGCGCACGTCACTTTCACAACAGCATTTAGTAATGAATGCAACCGAAAAAAAAATCAAAAACTATGTGCCAGGCACTCGGCGACTTTATCATCTTCGATTTAAGTGAGCGTAATCTGAAACAAATGAGAATGAAAGCCTTTGTTTTCACTTCGGCTTATGACATTAAACTCACGACTTCGCAATGCTTCAAGAATTTTGTCTTAACGGCGTAAACGACTTTCATTAGTTAGTAATAATAGTGGCAAGTCTAGTCTAGTCATTAGAAATCGCGCTTTTGAAATATAATTGGCATAAAAATGCTGGAAACCCATTGCTATGAACTGAACATACATTCAACAAAGATAAAATAATAATGAGAGAAATTCGCGCAGCATTTATTGTAAAACCAATCTTATTTATGTCCAGTCCGAGAGGTCAAAACGAATAAATGTATCGTTACGTTAAACAACAAAGGCTATACAGATGATTTAAAACTTTATAGACATTCTTGAAAATTTATCACATTACTGAGAACCAAGGCTGTTACTATCGTAAGATGATATTAAAAACGGGTCTAATGTTTAAAAGTTCTTCATGGTTATTTGATTATAGATTAGAAAATATGCATAGCGAATGAAATCCTATATTTACACTATAGGGCGTAGAGAACATGACAAACCTTATTCAGTAATTTCATGTAATATAATATTCCTAGAGTGAACAGGTAATATATATATATAAATATACCATCATTAGAAAAATAATTTTACAAATACCAAAATGGTAATTCAATATAAGTTACGCCTAAAAGTACAAATCCATACGTTGAACAGAAGACCAATTGCCATTGTATTCTATCGGCCTTATTTCTCGAACGATCATCGATAGTGCAAAAATAGAAGCATAAACCCATTATAACGTCAAGGTACGTCGAATAGAGGCCAAGTGCAGCCAGTTAGTTGGTGGCGGTTGGAACGAGGACAAAAATGCAGAACTACATGTCTACAATAACCAATGTACGAAGTAAAATAAACGGAATTTTTAAAAGTGTACTACTCACGCGAAATGGAAGACGTGGTCCTGTCGAACAAGGGTGCGTCTTGTCAATTAGTGACCAATATAGTGATAACGGACTGACATTTGTGTTATTCAATGGATTGAATTACCCCTAGGTCACCGCCTTTTGAACCTTTTAATACTATTAAGCTTACACACTAACACCTGTTGAATGAGCAATTAAATAAAAGTGACTTTTAGAGAGTGAAAACAGCTGGGTTGAAAGAAGTACAACCATAGATTCGTAAACTAGGTTCAAGTGAGGCTCGATTGATTTTGATTCGAAAAATAATGATCTTTATACAAACACCTCTGCAGGCTTCGGGATTTTGAAATTTCCTGCTCTGAATACAGTTGACGACTATTTTGCGTATTGATGGGTTCAAATTCCTTTTTGCTTTCAATTGATAATCACCCCCGGACAACTTATAACATCGAATATAAGGCATATTTATCTAACGCTGCGTCTGGCTATAACAGACAATTATCATATAACCTGAAATAATTTTTTTCGCATAAATAATGTTATCTCTCTTTTATCTTTGCTTGTGAAAATCAAAAAGTAGATTCTCCAACAATGTGTTTATCAGACAAAAATGTGTGCAATTTTTCTAATATTTTAAAAATGTTTTCATCAAGTTATGGTTTAAAAATTTGAAAGCTTTATTAAAACGCCCAGGGGCGATGGTGAGGAATTAACAACATTACGTCAAACAGGAAAGCGTATAACATGCACGATCTGCTGTCTAAGGCAAATTGATTGAAATTATAATCGCTCAAAGCGAACCATGCTGGGATACTCGAGCGAGTCGCATGGAAAATGACTACGGTAAGTGACTACTGCACAAGCAGATAATTGTAATGAAAAAACTGCATCTGAACGAACAAAACGAACCTTCAATTGGTCCGGAATCTGAATTCAAATTTTGCACCTCCTTCACCCCTCCAAAATAACATTTCCTTCGGGTTCGGTCAATGTTATGATAATTTTTTCCCCCAGGATATTTTCAAAATGCGCAAATATTTCGTTACATGGTATATCGACTAGATTAGGAAATACAATATAAATATGACAATATCTGGCACAAAACTTTGGGATAATTTAATAAGTATATAAAACAAATGGGAAGGTGAAAAGGGAA